TCTCACGTGAAACTTATTGTGATAGCTCTCCATTTCATTATTTTTTCTTTCTATAATTTGCTGTAATTATTTTGAATTATATCTTTATTACTTCCTGTCAAGTGGAGTCTTAGATATTTCACTGAATCCTTTGCTATCTTACAGACAGTGGGTCTTTTATAAAGTCTTCTTCAGAGGTTAAATGCCTTGTTATTATCTTAGCTTTCTTTTCATTAATTTTCTTTCTGAAAAGGCAGCCAAAGTCTTTATTTATATCAACACTCATATGGAGCTTTGGTTGCATAATTAATATATTAATATTATATTGTCTGTATAGTATTTCATTTTGTATCCCTCTCCTTAATAATTATTCCAGTTATTGTTTATCTTTTAGGATCTTGCTTGTTGTGACTTCCAAAGAGATTACAAATAGTAAAGAGGCTTGTATCTTTCATACTGAGAAGTTTGCAGAGTGTATTCCATTCACTGTACTATTTGCTATCGTTGTTGATATATGCTGTCTGGGATCCTTCTCCATGATTCATTTTGCCTAAACCTGTGATGGCGAACCTATGGCCATTTGTACGGACACACGAGGCCCAGGCAAATTTACCTCACTGCGCATGCAGGCATCTCCCAGCTGATTTTCAGACCTTTTTTGGCCTCCCAGAGGCTTGAGGGAAGTCTCTAAAGCCTTTGGAGGCTGAAAAACAGGCCCGTTTCATCACTTCTGGTATTTCCGGAAATACAGGAAGTGATAAAACAGGCCTGTTTTTCTGCCTCCATAAGCTGCAGAGGCTTCTCTCGAGCCTCTGGGAGGCCGAAAAAGGCACGAAAAATCAGCTGGGAGGTGCACGCATGCGCAGGGGCACATTACCTTCTGAGTGCAGGCACGTGAGCACGAGCACAATTTTCGGCACAGGAGCCCGAAAAGGTTGGCCACCATTGGCCTAGACCTTCCAGTAGAAATATACTGTATATTCAAAGATGTCTAAGCTTTTTCCGGAGCTAAAATATTACAGCTCCCTTATTCATAATATTGATATACATAGTGCATTTGTAAGTACAGTAATTAATTCCACTGTTCTCCATTAATGTCATCTTTGGAATATAATGTTTCTGGTAGGTGCTTATTATTTGGGAATGAATTTCCTTTTACATTAGCTGATATATTTACAAACAACATTCTATAATGAAATTGGTCTACATGACTAAGATTTCTTTGTGTTCTCGTTTATGGCTTTTCTCTTTTTTGTGTTATGAATGCTTATTTCAGTTTTTGACATTGTTTTTATCTTCTTGATTTCATTCATCATTTTTAATAGTGATTTCACTAATTCCTCTTCCACCTTCTGGTAATTCTGGGCTATCTGTCTATCTGGGTCTGACATGTATTCAATTTTAATTGTTTTATCTCTCTTATTCTTTGATATCTTGAATGGTTATAGATTTCCTTCACAAATGTCTATGTTTTTTACTGAATTCTTTAAGAGCTGTGTTTTTGTATGTTTTCAGACATTTCCTGTCAATTTTAAGTTTGGAATATAGTTCCTCCAAAAAGTCCAATTTTTTGAGGTGAGGATTTATTGCTAAGGCAGAATTGACTGTGCTTGGCATGACTGGAATCTTGACAGAGCCAAACAGGATCAGAATGAAGGTCATGCATCCATCCTGGTGCTACTTGATCTCTCAGTGGCTTTCAATACCAACAATCTTAGTATCTGAGCATCGGTGTTGAGAATGGAAAGCATAGTGCTAATTTTCTGAAATTGCAATGATTATTTTGATCCTTCTAATACTTTTGAGTATTTTTGCATGACTACCATATGTGACAGAATGTTTCTTCTTAAATCTTGTTTTGAAGCACTGTTGGAAAACTTGATCCCCTGCGTTTTTTAGCCTTACAAAATCTTATTCTTGAAAAATGTGAGTTGATTAGGTATATGGCACCTTATGAATTTCTTTTGCTTTAGTATCCTCATCTTTCCAGTCCAAAAATACTGGCCAATGCTGGTATAATTTTTCTTCTCTATTTGCATCTGAACTCTGTGGGATAGCTTTAAATCTCAAACTGAATTCCTTCTGAGTTCCCAGCCACACTATTTTTCTCTCCAATTTCCCATTTACTTTTTTAAATGTCCATATTATCATTGGCTTATTTTATATCTCCATTTGATAGAATTTTCCATCTTTTCATCTTATCAAGCCTTCAATCTATGCTTTTTTGTCAAAGACTGAATAGTAAGGTGACCAACCTTTTTTACAATGAAGAGGACACAAATAAATTGAAGAAAAAAAACAAAGCCACTTGCACGCATCGCACTCTTGTGCACAGCCCACTCTATCAAAACAATTCTCTTGTGTGGAGCGCATGCGTCTCATAATCGCGTCTCGCCACACTGTATTGAGCCTTGACAAATCCTCATGTTAAATACAAATACATCACATCACTCACAACAGATCGGATTGGCATCGATCAAATATGGAGATTTACAGATTAATCTTCAAATATCAAAAAGGAGGACATGTAGGAGGACACTTTTCGAGAGAGGACAGAACTTACAAAAGGAGGACTGTCCTCCGTAAAGGAGGATGGTTGGTCACCTTATGAATAGGGTTTCAAGTGACTGAGTCAATTTAGATCCCAATTCATCAAACACTGTGTGTAGAAACTTAAAGAAATTGCTTTATCATTTTATTTTCCTTCTCTAACAATTGTTCTAAGGAACCTCTTCTATCCTCTATTCCTCCTGCCTTATACATCATTATTTGAAACCAAACTGTTAAACAGAAGATAAGATAAACACAAACTTTCTCTAGTTTTTAAAACTGTAATTGTAGGCACGCACATCTGTGTTTCCATGGTTTCAACCAAATATTCAATCTACTCAGGTTACTTTTATTTTTTATTTTGTGAATCAAATCAATTACCGACAATGTTTAATATATAGCAAATGCATTCCCATGGAAAGCTTGAGTGTTAATTCAGTTAGGATTTTGAAAATGTAGTTTCATAAAAAATTTAATCTTTTTATAAAATAAACTTCCCCTTCAACAGTTTTTAACTTTCCTGTCATTCCTTATTGAACTTTTTACCAACTATTCCACATATTTAAAACTTTAATTCAGCTTTTAAATTATTATCCCACCCAAAAAAGGAAAACCACCAAGAGAAATATTTATCTATTGTAAAACAAGTCTCTCTCATGCTAAAAATAATTATATCCAAATGTGGTTAAGAACTGAGATTCATTGGTTCTTTTCTCCACATTGGCTGCACCACAGCAGTGAACCTAGATAGACTCCCACTCCTTCCAACCATTCAACTAGCAAGTAAACTGCAAAAGCTTCCATCTTTACTGTTAACTCATGGGAAACCGCCATCTGGAGATCAGAGGGGTTGATTTCATGCTTCCTCCTTTATCTGGAGAAAATTCAGCATCCACACTGGCTACTGGGCATGGATCTTAGCTGTGACACTGTGTCCAGTTTTCCTCAAAACAAACTAAATGGCCATTAATCATCAGTTATTTTGTATTTTCATCATGAGAATGAGAATATCTATACCTTCTTTTGGGGCTCTTCTATTTCCACTAATTGTTGTTTTATTCTGTTTCGTTCTCTCAATACCTGTTTTAGATCAGTTTTGTGAAATTTTCTAATTTTATTTTTCCCTCCTTCCAATTGTCATTTTCATCTACTACATTGATGCAAACATTATAAGAATTTCTCTCATATCAGTTTTACATATCTCCAATATTGTTGTTTCTGATATTCCTGATGAGGTATTTATGTTGAAGGAACATTTTGGTTTTTTATATTTCTGAAATAGGCCTTTTTTACAGACAGTTATGTTATTTGAAAAGCGTTTTTTCTTCTCAAAATTGGATTTGGTCCATACATATCATTGAGAGAATTTCTAGTTCCTTAATAAATGATGTGAGAGCCTTAGAAACCCAGCAGGTATCAATTATTTAATATCCACAATGTCTTACAGAAAAGAACATATAGCCCCTTCCTTCAGATTTTGTAGTCTTCAAGCATTCATCAAAGCAAGTGTGCCCATATATTGAAAACTCCTTTTGGGAGTTTTCCTCCATTTTTCTCTTTGAGAAGTAAATTTATCTAAATTCAGATCTAGCATTTCATTCATGTATCCCCCAGCTGCATTTTTTATTACAATTTTTCATAGAATCTTTTCATTAGTCTTATTTGGGGCATAGATGGATTCCAGATTTAAACTTTTACTTTATTTTCTTAATATCAAAATTAAAATTCATCCTTTTTTATCTTTTAATTTCTCTAAAGTCTTCTAAGAGGGCGATTTAAGATAAATTTGAATCTGGAAATTTTCCATGTATTTTTATATAGTCTTACCTAATTATAATATATAGCTAGAGTATAATTATAATATTTGATTTTGTCACTATTATTAAAATCATTTTCAAAAATAGACAAAAAGCATCATTGGTTAACTTTATAAAAAATCGATTAATAGGAATTAGTATCTTGTTCTAATATAACTTCATATTATTTTGATATTATCAAGATACATGAATTATATAACAAACATTAATCCTAAATATTATATGCCAATCTAGCCTATAATTTACTTTTTGAAGTCAAATGCCTAGCTGGGATCCACATTAATTGATAGTAGACAATATATTATTTAATCTTTTACAATATTATAATAAAATGTGTATTATGGATTCTTCTACATTCTCTCTAAATATTTTCTCCTATATTCTAATTTATTTAAAATTTGAAATTCCTGGTTCATAATTTCTTATACCAGCAGCAGAATACACATTAATGGGCAAAAGACTTGTCAAAAATAATGAATCTAAATAGCCAGTTATAGACTATTTATATATTAACACATAGCAAGTTATAACATTAAAGAACCTAAGGTATAATATATAACATACTACCCCGTATGTAGTGAGAATATATACTCAATTATGTGAATAATTGCTATCTAAATGTTTTCTATGACATATATTTCAATTAATACTTACCTCTTTTCTGAACCCAGCCTTCTTTCACAATTGTAACATCGCTCATGATGGCTCTACTGAGCCTTCAGATTAAAGAATATTTTGCAGTATTACTTTTAGAGTTCCTTTATTCTTCTGACTTTCCAATATTTTAAAGCAGCCTGAAAGTGTAAATAAACAAAAATTAACTCTTCTGATGTCCCAGTGCTTAATACTCAACCTATTTATCACTCTTATATAGCCGCCCATTTCACTAAAAATGATTCTGGACAACATACAGCAATCAAATAAAACCACAGATACATAAAGCAATCATAAAAATATTTTTAAAAATAATTGAAAAGAAAATATTATAAAAACTTTAAATTATGCAAACTACACTGAATGAACGAAGTATCAAACATGGTGAACTTGTCTCAAAAAGTTTTCAGCTTGCTGAGAGCCAAGCTTGATTATATAACAAAGTCTAGAAACTTCCAAAATAGCAGAGATGGGAATTAACATGACTTCAGGGGGTTGAGAAGAATGTTCCTTAAGGCAAATGTCATACAAAGAAGGCCTACCTCCTGGTACCCGTCAAATGTAAGACCCTAGAAGATAGTATTGGTAATATGCCTTCTCTGTCAGATCAAATGGGATGGGCTGATGTAATCACCTACAGCAGGGGTCCCCAACCCCCAGGCCTGTGCAGAACCTGACCATGCAAGTAGTGGCTGCTTGCATGCGGAGCTCCCCTCACATAAGCAGTGGCCACTTGCATGCAAAGCTCCCTTTCCTGCTATCTGCACAAATGGAGTTGTGCATACTCACACGCACTTGCCTGCCACTCACAGGAACTATCCTCTCCCACACCGGGCTATGAACCCAGAAATGTTGGGTACCGCTGACCTAAAAAGTCAGTTCCTCAGATAACGGGTCCTATTTCATGAAGGACTTTAAAGGTTAAAACCAGCATCTTGAATTGTACCCCAAAGCAGATCAGCAGTCAAAACAGCTTGCGGAGCGGAAGTATATCTTTCTAGGCATACACATAAGCTGCCTATGCCACCGCATTCTGCAGCAGTTGAAGCTTCCAGAAATTCTTCAAGGGCACCCCCATGTACAGCACATTACAGTAGTCCAATTTAGTGCTAACTAAGCCAGGGCACAGATGACTGTGAGCAGAGGCCCCTGATCCAGGAAAGGAGGCAATTGATGCACAACTCAAAGATGTGCAAGGCCCTCCCAGAGTAGCAATTTCCCCCCAAAAAATAATACATAGAATAATTTATTTAAAAATGTGAAATGATGTAGAAGAGCAAGCAGAGCTGCAGGGCAGGATTAATTATATGTTCATCTTAGAGTCATTATGTTGCCACAAATGGTCCAAGCCCAATCCCTCTTGATTCCATTGGTCCTTATTTAGCACAAATGTAGTACTGAACTTTAGTCAACTAGATTCTGGAGTATAAGTTTGAACAATAAATCTTTTTAATTGTAGCTTACAGTATCCTGATCCTTTGATCCTATCAAATACATAGACACTACATAGCAATGAACATCAATAATAACAAAAAAAAAATGTATCTAGCATCAGGATAGCATAGCATGAATAAAATTAGCCTGGTCAAAATAAAAATCATTAGTTTTGCCATCCATTTCATCAATAAACTATGATTCCTAATACATACACATTTAACTTTTAACAAGTTGCCTCTATCAATATTTCAACACTGCTGTGATTGATATTGGTGAGCATTTGTTTAGTGACTATTTGACTAAAATTACAATGGTACTGAAAAAAGTGACTCACAACCAGTCCTCGCAAAATAACTATGGTACATAACTATGACCATAGCAGCATCCCACAATCATATGTTCAAGGTTCAGGCACTTGGCAACTGGCATGTATTTATAACGGTTCACAGGATCACACGATCACCATTTGCAATCATCCCAGAGGACTTCTGACAAACAAATTGAATGGGGAAAACCAGATTAACTTGAAACTTTATGATTGCTTAATGGCCAAAGTGATTTGCTTAAACAACAAAGGTCATAAAATTGGAGGCAACTCACTTAATAGCTGAACTGCTTACCGATAGAAGGTCCAGTCCCAATTGTGATTATAAGTCAAGGACTATATGTTATTTTTAATTTCCCTTTAAGAAAAAAAATCAGCAAGAATTGTTTTAGATATGGGAGAGCCACAAATCTCTCTCATTTTCAGTCTCGAAAATCCTATCTCCTGCAAAACTGCCTAAAACCACACCATTGAAATTATCATATTTTTGCACTAAATTTCAATAGGAGAATTTGAACTATTTTTTAAGATCTCAGATGAGAAACAGGGAACAATTTACCTGAGACCAGCCCTCTTCCAGCCAAAAAAAGCACTAAAAAAGCACCAAAGCTTTGCTCTTAGAGTGATCACTTGGTCACTAGAAATCTTGGTGGAAACCTCTAGATCTGTGATGGTGAACCTATGGCACACGTGCCGGAAGTGGCACACAGAGCCATTTCTGCCGGCACACAAGCCGTCGCCCGGGGCGCATGCCGCACATGTGCCCCACCAGCCAGCTGATTGTTGGGTATCTGCCACGCCTGCGTGGGGGGAGACACATGTACAGGAGACACACGTGCATGCACAGGGGACAGGGCAAGGCATGTGCAAGAGGGGTCACGCACATGTGCAGGTGGGGGGGGTCACATGCACATTGCATTATGGGTACAAGCATGCATGTGCACATGCACACACATGCACTTTCAGCATGCGACAACGAAAAAGTTAGCCATCACTGCTCTAGATCAGTGGTTGCCAACGGGTGGTCTGTGGCCCACTGCTGGTCCACGAGAAAATTTTGGTGGTCTACAGAGAAATGCCATCCCAAAGCACCCCCGAAAGCAATTAATCCAGGCTGCAGGGGAACACAAGGCTGCGCCACCCACACGGCCCGGGAACACAAGGCTTGCGTCGCTTGCATTAGGAACAACACAAGATAGTGAGGGGAGAGGGGGAGGGGGGAACTTGCCTCGCCACTGGATTGCTTCTTCAGCTTCTTTCTTCTTCTGCTTTTGGCTGCATGCAAGGAAAGCAGCAAAAGTCTTTCTCTCCCCCAAACTCCCCCAGAAATGAGCCTTAGGGACCTTGCAAGGCCTCCTGCATGACAAGTCTCAGAAAGATTCATTTCTGGCAGGGTTGAGGGGGAGAGAAAGAAAGGCTACTGCTGCTTTCCTTGCATGCAGCCTGAGAACAGAGCTCAAAGCAGGCTAGGAATGGGGCTGCCTTGGAGGGGGTGGGGGGGTGTGAGGGAGAGAGAGAAAAAGAAAGAAAATCACCAGCCCCCAGGTTAGATCGGATCTCTCTTTTTTTCCCCTCCCTCTGAGAACAGAGCTCAAAGCAGGCTAGGAATGCGGCTGCCTTGGAGTGGGTGGGGGTGGTGAGGTGTGGGGGTGTATGTGTGTGTGTGTGAGAGAGAGAGAGAAAGGGAGGGAGAGAGAACATCACCAGCCCTCCGAGGTTAGATCAAATCTCTCTCTCTCCTTCTCCCTCCCACCAATGTCAGTCAAAATTTACATTAATGGTCCGCAGGATTTAAAATAATGTGTTTGGTGGTCCCTGAGGTCCAAAAGGTTGGCAACCTCTGCTCTAGATTGTCAAGAAGTTATACTATTGTTTACTTCTTCAAAGCTTGCTCATCACTCAGTTAACCAAGGAAATTAAAATCTCCATTCAGAAATACAAGAAAGTACTTCTTCATCAATCTGACTAATATTAAAGCCTCTTATGATGCCCAATGAGTAGTGCTAAATCATGTTATCTGGATGCTGGTGGGTTTTATTTCGAAGAAATCAGCTATGAAATGATTCCCCAAAACCTGTATATTATTGATCAGTAAAGACTTTTGGAAACAATTTTTTCTTACTCCTCAAAACAACAAATATGCAATGCTGATCACTTGATTGATGTCCTCACTTGCATTATAAAATAAGTCAAATAAACACAATACAGCTAGCCCTCAATTTATGACAAGTTGCTTAATGACCATTCAAAGTTATGATGGACTCCCCCGCAAAAGAAATTCATGGTTTGGTTTTGAAATTTCAAACTGCACCATCTGTGAACATGTGATCATATTTTGGGTGCTCAGCAACCAGTCTGCATTTACAGCTTTTTGCAGCCCCCTGTGATCATGTGACCCCGATTTATAATCATTTTGCCAGAAACCAGCATTTAATTCTACTTTCCAGAAAAACCAGCCCATAGTGAACAATGGGTCACTTAACGGCTGAAACGTTTGCTTGACCACTGCATTCACTTAACTGCCGCAAAAAAGTTATAAAATTGGGGCCTGTCATATGATGACCCATTTTACAACCACCACAATTTATAACCATAATTCTCAGTCTCAATTACAGCCATAAATCGAGGACTACCTGCATTTATATCAAACCACTGAATTATATACTTGGATGAAGCTATACAACCTAGTGAATCCAATTTAATACAAAAATATTACAAGCTTAATACAAGAATTTTATTTTAAAAACTTAAATGAAAGACAGATCAACCTTTGTTGACATTTGGTAATAGATACCAAACATCTCATTAGGCATGAGTGTTTACAGGGGAAGGGGGATAGAAAAAATATGAAATAGGTATCAGAACACTACAGTACAAACCATGTCTGATGTACTAGTTTCTGACAATTCGGTGTAGACTCAAAAGGTCAGGGGTCACACTATATTCCATCATTACATTATTGTTTTCTTATCCCAGTTTCCTCCATATACAAATATTACAAAATTCTTTCTGGTGATCAATCAGCAACAGCAATAGCAATATCACTTAGGCTTATATACTACCCCATTGTGCTTTACAGAACCCTCATTTTCACAGAGAAGGGACAATTCTTAACTCCCACAAAATGATACTGTTTAATAGAAAAGACTAGGAGCATGCCAACTCTATCAGTCTTGGTGAGTTGAAGACAGAAGTTTCTGTAAGTAATCTAGTCCTGTGCCCTGGATTTTATAGATTACTAGTTGATAACCCAGTGTGGCCCAGGTATTTATTTATCCCAATCCTATATTAGACAGGAAAATCCTGTAGTCTGGATTCATGCTGTTGTACTGTCTCTCGCACAGTGTTGCAAGTATTCTATTCCTCTCCTTGGGAGTT